ATACATTTTTTTTTTTTTGAACAATATGTAGCACTGAAACTACCATTGGAGCAGGAAAAAATTGAAAAAAAAAATCCCATCCGTTCTAAAGTTAACCAGGGGGGGGTGACTTTATGGACACAGTGTATAAATACGTACACCATATTGTAGTTAAGTATTTTTGTTTTGATCAGGAAAGCCTTCAAGATTCACATACTTGTTTGATCTGTATTTCATTCGATATTCTCGGGATGGATAACTTGTGTTTGAATAATCACGGCCAGCAATAATTTCCTGTCTCACACAATGATATCGTTTACCTTCATTTGATTACCGAGCCAAACACAGTGAAGAATGGATAGAAATAAATAATCGCTATTATTATTGTTGATATGCTCACTATTTCACTAACCTATTGTATTTATATTGAAAGTACAATTCGAACATTCTTGAAATTTGCATAAACCTGATCTGTAAATGCAGGTAGAATATTTTCACCAAACGGATTATTTGTTGCATTGCATATGTAGTTAATTCTTTCGGTTGCAGAAAAAATAGTATGTTTATTTAACAGACACACTGTATACAAACCCTAAGTGTGATATATTTTTGAATTTAGTTTTCTATGGAGATTCCAAAAATTGGATAATATATAGGGTGTTTGTTCTATTTGAAAAAATAGTGGCGGACGTCATAACTCAAACGTGGATCACCCTGTATATTATATTTTTCCTCATAAATGCGGCTAATTGAAAATTAAAATCAACCTGTCGCAGGAGACTCCTCAGAAATGGATAGTTTGACTAAGAATGAAGAAGCACTGTACTTTGAAAAAGTGAGCTAATTTACAGCAAAATATTTTTTCATGCAGGAGCATTGAGAATAACAGTTTGTCCCAATTTGAAAGCGGGACACCCCCCGGAAATTGTTTTTTGCCCGATTTCCGCAGAAAATAAAACATCATCCTTTATCCATTCATTATGATGGATGAGATCATTTAGAAAACATTATTTTCATAAGTTTATCTTATCATACTGTCATAATTCAGTATCTATAGATAATTTATCATTCCTATTATTATTTATAACAATGAAGAATGATATCATCAAGCATATCAGGAACGAGTGTATAAAATCGTATTATTGGCGGGTACCAACACTCTTTCCCCAAAATGGAAAGATTTATCTTACCAATTCTTCAAATGAACACGCCAAAACACCCAAGCGAATTAAAACGATCAGATATGACCGTGCGAAAAAAGTTGCCGAAAAAACAGGTGTAAAAATTGATTCAATTATGATAATGCTCATATCTCTGAAACCATTTGAGTTATCGTTGTGCGGTTTGAACTAGTCTATTTTGATGTTTTTCAAGTTTTTTTTTGACGTGTTCATCTTCTCACTTCAACTTCCGGTTCTACCGGAAACAAACAAGCAATAATCCAGGTATAGGGCAACTTTTTTATTCAATTGAATCACCCTGTATATTTTTGCACATTCAGAAAGACTGGTCTTTTCTCTATCTAACAATGTATTACAAGTTATGTTCTTCTAGAAAACTATTAGAGTTATAACTCTCTGAAACATATACTGCTTGTGGAATGGTTTCATGAGATTATGCAATGTTATCAAAGTTGCCCTATACCTGAATAATGGCTTGTTTGTTTCCGGTAGAACCGGAAGTTCAGGTGAGAAGGTGAACCAGTCAAAAAAACTTGAAGAATATCAAAATAGAGAAGTCCAAACCGCACAACGATAATTTGATTAGTTTGGGAGATATAAACAGTTGAAATGGGTCAGAATATAACTGGTCACCTGGTATTAACTTTGGGCACGTGATAAATTCCCAATATGCCTAGCCATAGCACCACTATACGGGAAATAATGCCATGGTGGCAAGTCAAGAGCGTATAAAATTGTAGGTGCGTAGCGCGATGCCCAATTTCCACGATGCCCAATTCCCACCATGCCCACCTTCATGTCGACGATTACGAAGATTGCCGAAGAGCGCAACGTTGCCAGGTCATGAGAAAAATTAAGAAAACACAAGATTCCTATCATAGATTCCCACGATGCCCAATTTCCACCATCCCACTTTTCATGGATACCCACGATGCCGAATTCCCACGATGCCCAATTCCCAACATGCCCACTTTTCATACTTTCCCACGATGCCCAATTCCACCATGCCCGCCTTCATCATGGTGAAAATCCAAAGAAGGTGGGCATGGTGGGAATTGGGCATCGTGGGAATATATGAAAAGTGGGTATGGTGGGAATCCAAGGAAGGTGGGCATGGTGGGAATTGGTCATCGTGGGAATCTATGAAAAGTGGGCATGGTGTGAATCTTGTGTTTTCTGCATTTTCCTCTTGACCTGGCAACGTTGCGCTCTTCGGCAATCTTCGTTATTGTCGACATGAAGGTGGGCATCGTGGGAATATATGAAAAGTGGGTATGGTGGGAATCCAAGGAAGGTGGGCATGGTGGGAATTGGTCATCGTGGGAATCTATGAAAAGTGGGCATGGTGTGAATCTTGTGTTTTCTGCATTTTCCTCTTGACCTGGCAACGTTGCGCTCTTCGGCAATCTTCGTAATTGTCGACATGAAGGAGGGCATGCTCCCTAAAATTGTTTTGTAGTTTGTTTCGCCAGAAGCGTGGTGGTCATTAGAGTAGTGTTCCTTCCATCGAGCGGAAAGACCGTGGGTTCAATTCCTACTCCAGCTAATCTTTTTTTGTTTTTCGAAATAATTAATCGAAATAATACTATGGAGACATTAATTGGTCAGACCAATAGTGATTCGCTATTTCAATTATGTTTCTTCTCAGGATTAGCCGGAAAGGACCCCGCACGAAAGCACGGGAAATTGGCTCTCGGTCGAATTGGCTGAAATTTTACTATGTTGTTGTGGGATGGCTCATTAGAAAAATATGTGAGTTCAAAAAGTTTTGTTTGTTAAGTTTCTAAGATACAAGCCGACAAAGTTAATAAAAACGTCGTATCGAGGTAGGATTGACAAAGAAAAAACCTGTTTTTTTAGTATAAATGAAACAAAATAATCTAGAAAATGTATTGATCGGAACTCGAACATGTCTAGTTATAATCACATAAACTATAGTAAATCAGGGTGTATACGAGGCACGGTCAAAAAAATCATTTTTCGGGAAAAAAATTTGTGCACTATTCCAAAACCAACAATTTATATTTTGGTGGGACATTATAGTTTTAGTCTATTGTAGGCTTCGAAAACGTAGTTTGATTCTTTATAACTATCTCTGAATTTTTAGAATTCTGTGTTATACCCCTATTTGAAAACAATTGACAACTTGTTTGTGATCATAAAGTAACGGATTGATTGATACTGTTGATTGAATGAATGCTGAGGTATAAGTCACTAGTGAATACAGTTCTTCAATATTGCCTTTCATTTAGATACAGGGTATGTTTTAGAATTTGTTGAAGATTATTCAACATGTTTCAATTGAATATCTCGAAAACAGTTCCGTCAATTTGGATCTCATTTCACTCACACTATTTTGAATATGTTGACTATCATATGCAAAAAGTTTTTCAATTTTTTATGTTTCGTTTCTGAGATATCAATTTTTGAGTTTACAATATTTATATAATATTTATAGGGATGCATATCTCAGAAACGAAACATAAAAAATTTAAAAACTTTTTGAACATGATAGTCAACATATTCAAAATAGTGTGAGTAAAATGATATCCAAATTAACGGAACTGTTTTCGAGATATTCAATTGAAACATTTTAAATAATCTTTAACAAAATCTAACACACCCTGTATCTAAATGAAAAGCAATATTGTACAACTGAATTACTCTAGTGAGTTACCTCAGCTTTCATCCAATCAACAGTATCAATCAATCCCTTTTTTTGTGATCGAAAACTAGCTGTCAATTGATTTCCAAAAGGGGTATACCACAAAATTCAAAGAATTCATATTTCCAACAGAGACAGTTATCAAGAATGAAAATACGTTTTCGAAGCCTACAATAGACTAAAACTATAATATCTCGCCAAAATATAACTTGTTGGTTTTGGAATAGTGCTCGAATTTTTTTTCCGTAAAATGAATTTTTTGACCGTGCCTCGTATACACCCTGATTTACTATAATTAATGTGATCATAACTAGACATATATTTGAGTTCCGATCAATACGTTTTCTAGTTTATTTTGTCCTATTTATACTAAAAAAACAGTTTTTTTCTTTGTCAATCCTACCCCGTTACAACGTTTATACGAAATTTGTCGGCTTACATCTCAGAAACTAAACATACAAAATTTTTCAAACTCACATATTTTTCTAATGAGCCATCCCACAACAACATAGTAAAATTTCAGCCAATGGGGGAGACCACTGGTTTTTTGAAACGACATTATCGTGAACTCTATACTGAAAAACTACCAGTGAATTAATTTTGAATTTTTTCATTCATGCTAAGACAATGAAAAAAATGAATTAGAATATGTCCATTTCAAAACACATAATCCCTGCGCCATTTGAAGTTTTGTCAATTCATTGGTGAGACTGGTGCGACGTCTTAGTCAAAACACGCCTATTGTCCTTGAACTCACCAATCACACTGCAACACTGCAGAATGACGAGGTATCAGAGAGAGATAGCTACAATGCGGGACTAATACGTCACGGCTCCACCATCATATTTGGCTTTTCTAAATAACGAATGAAATATGCTGATTTCAAAACGATATATAGATTCGATTCCCTCCAACTTCAACTCATAATATTGATTATAGATCAAACGTAAATCATGATTCGTCGATTGAAAGAGGTTTGCACGGATTTCTTCCATCAGTGGTCTTCCCCATTCGACCGAGAGCCAATTTCCCGTGTTTTCGTGCGGGGTCCTTTCAGTTTCTTGCGCCCAGGGAGCAGCGAGCGAGGCGCAATATTACCTCGCTATGGTGCTATGGCTAGACTCAAGTATCATCTTGTGTGTAGAAAAACAGATATGAAACATTTGAGTACTCACCTGGAAGATGTGCATTTCTGGTGGATGGGATTGATTAGAATTCGTTACAATGAACACTAAAATATTATTATACATTTCCATGGGGTCCTGACTCATGAAAGCCGTCGGTTCTTGTATCGAGTTGGCCGGAAATCTTTCCATGACACTCTGAAAGAAATGGAAGAAGTGTCCTATACATTTTTCATACACAGGGTATTGAAAATTCGTTTTATGGGACACCTTATAAATATTTGTTAATAGGATATGGTTCTATCATCGATAAATTTACACCGTGACCTATTTTGGAAAGTACTTTTTGCGTTCCCTGTATATAAATGTATGTACTCACATCAAATTGCGCACTTTTCATCTGATATTAGTCATGCGATTCCAACCAAATTCGGACTGGTATTATATAACTCATTAATATGATAATTTTTTCAGAGACCATTATATCGCACAGTGCCGTGCGTGTTTATTGAACTGAAGAGGTGTTGATTTTTTCATATTATGCATTTTTACCAACTTAAAAAAAATTCTATATAGGATTTTGAAAATAAGGCACCTCAAAACTACTATTATGCGGAAGTAAGTAATTGCTTACTCGGAAACGGTTCAAGAAGTAAATGTTTAAAATTTCATTATTTTTGGAGGATGATAACTGAAAATATGAAGCCCTGAATATGAAATTTTGCCTAAACTTCGTGCATATATGAAATAGTGCAGTGGCATAGTCAACAGTTTTTTTTGTAGACATCGAATAAGTGAAAAATATGTTTTGAATGAAACTTCTACATGAAAAAAGACACACAGTATTTTTATGTCATGTTTGGCAAGGCAATATAATAATGAATATAATGATGGAAGTAAGTCAAAAGACAATGTTAGGTAGGTAAGTTAATTCAACAACTCTCAAGCATTTGAAACTATTTTACAACCATGAGTAGAGTAACTTCCATTGTTATCCATCTCATATATGAAACGAAAGTAAAATGTGTGATAAAAACATCAAACACGAAAATGTGATTGATTAGTAATACATCAAAAGATTAGAACAATTCAATGCAAACCGCAAACAATAGTTCGGAAAATTATGAATTGCGCAACAAATTATGACAATCAGATAGAAGTACAAATAGATAATCAAGAAAAAAATTGAAATATTCTAAATGAAGCAGATTGATTGTAATCCCCCCTTTTTTCCTAGTTGGATTTTCATTTTGGCAGAAACCTCGGTGATGAGATGGAAATGATTTACATAGGTCAAACAAGTATTTTATTGAAAAAAACTGATGAAAGAACATAAAATAGTACGCCAAACGTTCAGATGCTATTAAAACAAAATTTCCATGATGAAGTTTCTTCGAAAATGCAATGTTGAAAATTGTCATCTCTAAAAAAGCTACTTTTACATCCGTTCCATGATCCATAATGAGTACCCAAGAATTCTCCAAACAAAATTGCATTTTATGCGTTCAAATCCCATTGGATTTCTCGAATTGCAAAAGCCAAGACAAAAGGAAAATGATCTTACTAGACTCGTCTGGCAGATTGTCGCCCTTTTTTCATTAATGAATTTTCATTTCAGCAGAAATCTCAGTGATGGGAGTTAACAAATGACATAGGTCAAACAAGTACTATATTTAAAAAACGGATGAAAGAACATAAAATGGAACGCTAATAGTTCGTCAAACAAAATTCGCACTTCCGATGGAGATTTCTGAATTCTCCATGCTAACGGCACTACCTTCAGAATTTTCAGACGTTATTGAAACAAAATTTCCATGATGAAGTTTCTTCGAAAATGCAATGTTGAAAATTGTCATTCCTCACAAAACCATACTTACATCTGTTTCATAATCCAAAATGAGTACCCGAGAATTTTTCATAGAAAGAAGCATTTTCTGCGATCGAATTCCATTGGATTTCTCGAATTGCAAAAGCCAAGACAAAATGGAAATAATCTTACTAGACTCGCCAGACAGATTCATTGTAATCCCTCTATTCCTACATAAATTTTCATTTTGGCAGAAACCTCTAGCTCAGTGATGGGAGATAAAAAATTATCTACATAGGTCAAACAAGTAATATAATTAAAAGACGTATGAAAGAACATAAAATGGAACGCTAATAGTTCGTCAAACGAAATTCGCACTTCCGATGAAGATTTCAGAATTTTCCATGCCAACGGTACTACCTTCAGAATTTTCAGACCTTTTTGAAACAAAATTTCCATGATGAAGTTTCTTCGAGAATTCAATGTTGAAAGTTGTCATTCCTCACAAAACTATGTAATCCATAATGAGAACCCAAGAATTCTACATACAAAGTTGCATTTTCTGCGACCGAATCCCATTCCATTTCTCGAATTGCAAAAACCAAGACAAAATGGAAATAATCTTACTAGACTCGTCAGACAGATTCATTGTACTCCCCCCATTTATCCTTTTCCTACATACATTTTCATTTTGCAGAAACCTCTAGCCGAGCCTCTACATCAGTGATGAGAGATACAAAATTATCTACATAGGTCAAACAAGTAATATATTTAAAAAACGGATAAAAGAACATGAAGTGGAACGCTTATTATAGTCCGTCAAACGAAAATTCGCCGTTCCAATGAAGATTTCAGAATTTTCCATGCTAACGGTACTACCTATCAAATTTTCAGACGTTTTTGAAACAAAATTTCCATGAAGTTTCTTCGCAAATTCAATGTCATTTCCCACAAAACTATACTTACATCCGTTTCACAATCCAAAATGAGTACCTACCCAAGAATTCTCCATACAAAGTTGCATTTTTTGCGACCGAATCCCATATTGGATTTCTTGAATTGCAGAAGCCAAGACAAAATAATCTTACTAGACTCGTCAGGCAGATTCATTGTACTCCCCCCATTTTTCCTACATACATTTTCATTTTGGCAGGAACCTCTGGATCAGTGAAGGGAAATAAAAAATTATCTACATAGGTCAAACAAGTAATATATTCAAAAAACGGATGAAAGAACATAAAATGAAACGCTGATAGTTCGTCTAACGAAATTCGCACTATTGAAACAACAAACAACATATACATGATGAAGTTTCTTCAAGAATTCAATATTGAAAATTGTCATTCCTCACAAAACTATACTTACATCCGTTTCATAATCCAAAATGAGTACCCAAGAATTCTCCAAACAAAGTTGCATTTTTTGCGACCAAATCCCATTGGATTTCTCTAGTTGCAAAAGCCTCCGCATCCCGTCGGCGGGATAGATAATCCCAGTTTCTTTGGCCACGGTGAACGTTGCCAAATGTTCGATGATATGGGCCGGTTTGCCCCCATCACTGATCCTGTCGTCTCTCTCCAGCTCCCTGCTGTCTCTGTTGTCTGAGTATCCGTTTCGATAAGCCATGTTTATGCTGGAATCAAACTATCTTTTTTTTTCGTAACCGCGTCTTCGACTTCAAGCCCTACCCACTAAGAAAAGTTTGAAGCTATATTGATGCAATGTTGATGCAATTACTGAAACGGACGTTCAGCATTATTGTAAAGGTGAAGTTTGATAATGTAGCTTTGCTGCAATATTACCTGTTGCTGTGACATTGCTTGAACGTTACATTCGCAAATTTTACATTTGCAGTTTAAGTAATTGCTACAACCTTGCATCAACATAGCTTCAAACTTTGCTTAGTGGGTAGAACAAAACATTCATTTTAATGCATCAGTGTGAAACCAGCCATGAGTTCCAGCCACGACTTCGCCTAATATTCAAGGCGCGCGCCATACCACCAATGGTCGTTCATTATCAATTTATATTCATGGCTGGCCATGAAATTACTTAAACCTCAAAAATATGTCCATGGATGAAACTATTTTACATCAATGAATTTCTCTGAGGGTCTATGATAATCTGTATATCTCACAATATTTTGTAGGGCAAGAATTAACCCCATAGGCCCCCTTTTTCGGAAATTCGAAAAAAATTCATAACTTTTTCAAAATACACGTGGATAGGAGTTTTTTCTATGAATGTGTTCCTCTGATGGTACTCAATAATATGTATATCTCACAATATTTTGTCTGGCAAGAATTAACCCCATAGGCCCCTTTTTTCGGAATTTCGAAAAAAATTCATAACTTTTTCAAAATACACGTGGATGGGAGTTGCCCGACAAAATATTCTGACATATACATATTATTGAGTACCATCAGAGGAACACATTCATAGAGAAAAACTCCCATCCACGTGTATTTTGAAAAAGTTATAAATTTTTTTCGAATTTCCGAAAAAGGGGGTCTATGGGGTTAATTCTTGCCCGACAAAATATTGTGAGATGTACATATTATTGAGTACCATCAGAGAAACACATTTATAGAAAAAAACTCCCATCCACGTGTATTTTGAAAAAGTTATGAAATTTTTTCGAATTTTCGAAAAAGGGGGCCTATGGAGTTAATTCTTGCCCGACAAAATATTGTGAGATATACATATTATTGAGTACCATCAGAGAAACATATTCATAGAAAAAAACTGCCATCCACGTGTATTTTGAAAAAGTTATGAATTTTTTTAGAAATTCCGAAAAAGGGGGCCTGTGGGGTTAATTCTTGCCCTACAAAATATTGTGAGATATACAGATTATCATAGACCCTCAGAGAAAATCATTGATGTAAAATAGTTTCATCCATGGACATATTTTTGAGGTTTAAGTAATTTCATGGCCAGCCATGAATATAAATTGATAATGAACGATCATTGGTGGTATGGCGCGCGCCTTGAATATTAGGCGAAGTCGTGGCTGGTTTCACACTGATTTTTAATACTAAGAGCTTAGTGTTGTATTATAGCAATGCTGGACGTTCTTGCAGCGCCATTCTAAATGTACCGATTGAAATTGTGAGACATCACTCTCCAAGTACTAGGGCGAAAAATAACTTTTAATCCTATAGGAACTTGGTGTTGCAACTGTTATAGCAATGCTGGAAGTTCTTGCAGAGACATTCTATATGTAAAGATTGAAATTGTGAGACATCAATATTGAGAGGATGTTCACTGTTTTTTTTTTGAGAAATAATGAAATATGTACTGGTTTCATGACGTCTTGAGGACAACGATTTCAGGACATTTTGTGTGCTGCTAACGTTATATGTGTGAATCTTAGTATGATTGAGAAAGAAATATTTTAGAAATCCTCTATGATTAAATAACCTAATTTTGTGTATGCACCTAACCTGTGACCTAACTATTTATGTCCAATTAGAAAATGAAAAATTTTCCGATATTTTGATTAGGGGCGTGGGAACCAGGTAGGACTGGGGGCACTTTTTCCCCCATCAAGTTCTTTGTTTTTCCTATTTCGACCGTTTGATCAGGAAATATGAAAATATAATAATTCTTACTTAAAAATTATACTTTAAAGGTCTGCAGTGCGATAAAAATAGTACGTTTTCTCTCGCTTTTTCGTAATATAAGATATGTTACTGGGTGTGTACCTACCATAATATTTTTCAATTTATTAGTGTTTGTTGCACCTCCCATATTTTAAATCAATCATAAAAAGTAGATGTTCAAATCATCATTTATGGGAAAATTCGGTACCCAATGAAGGAAAAAGCAAAAAGCACTATTTATATTGGACAGCAAAATTTTAAAATCGATTTATCTTGGAAATGGTTCATGCCTATTATAACTACATAAGAGTACCATGTTCCGCCAAGAATGTTGAGATTCACATATTTTTGGTCAAACTTGTGGGAAAATTTCGGCAAATTTGGCATGAAAAGCTAGGTAGGTACATGTACAAAATTTGGATATTTTATCACAGAAAATATCTACATAAAACCATCATTTCATTCACGATAACCCCCCAGGGAGCCAATTCTGGAACGATGTTTATATATAAACTGTTTTCCTATATTTTTGTTCATCCTAGAATATCTGTGGTTGAAATCATTCCATGGCATTTAGGGACACCCTGTTCATCAAATATTTTTATTTAGTAGGTATCCTTTTTTGAATATGATAAATATGCGAGGATAAATCTTTTCTCAATTATTATTCCCTTCCATAGAGGTACATAATTATTATATGTATACCTATATTCTGTGAAATATTTGAATACTTATAGGTACTCACAAATACCGAAAATTTTGAATTCAGTGTATTTATGTTTACGTTGTTGGACCTAATAAAAAAAACTATTCAAATTACCAAACATTTAAGGAAAACACTTTTTTCAGGTCGGGTCGTCGAAACTATGGAACATGTGAAACACCTCTGTAAAAATCAGTTGCCCTTGAACGAGGAATTTTCTTCTTTAATATCTTCAAACATTCCAGGAGAAACTTGAATTATTTCTGAAGATCAGATGACTACTTGGTGAATCATATTATTATTTCTTCATATAATAACATTCTTGATGATCATTTGAAATTGTGGTACTCATTATAATATTTTGGATATTTGACGTTCGATTAAAAGAAGAATAAAAGGTCTTCACACATGTGAAGAATGTGAGAAATATTAAATCAAATTATATAAAAGTACACAAGAATTTGCCACACCTATAACAATAAAGTACGACTGTGGTAGGGAATCGCATATCTTTACTTTTCTTAGTCAATATCCTACCACCTACACCTATGCTATCTATATCAGTATAGAGGGTTGTAATTTTTGGGCATATCCCATATAGCCATTATAATCAACAATGTCTATAAAATTTACGTAAATAAACCCATTCACATTAAAAAACATGATTTTGCCTCATCCACTCCTCATGATGATTTGATGAAATATTTGCAAGCGATCCGGTAATCGGGGGAAAATACCTGTAATTGGGGTGTTTATCAGCCACTAAATAGCCTGCAGGTAATTTCCTTGAATTTATATTCTACAAGTCTGGAAAAAACATCATCAGGTAGGTAGGTAATAGCTAGACAGCTAGAGAAGCCACGATGGCAATGATACACACTCAGTATAGGCACCAATAATCATTGCAAATTAATAAATCACTTACTATAATCAATCGAACGTATCCTAATAATCCATAATAATACAATTCACTTGCAAACACACGTCAAGGACAGGTATTCGAAAAAATGGAGTACCACATCAACGAGAGAGAACGTATAGGAACAACTAAAGTACCCGTTGGCACCTGTCAGGTACAGGTAAAATAACTTCGATAGGCGCAAAGCACATGCGTATAGGTAGGTAATGAATGAGTCGCTGATCTACAGGGGAGTTCGCAACGGGGGGCATGAAGGACGCAGGACCTCCTTTATAATCAGGTTCAGGGTTCAGATAAGATAATAAGATCGGGTGACTTCTTTTGGTCCACTTTGTATAATAAATTATCGATTATAATTGCACAATTAAGTGCATAAAAATTACCGATAATTTACTTTCATATTTTGGCGAAGGAGCCCGAGTACGAATGAAGGAGGAGGGTTTTACAAAATATGAAAATAGCCGAATGGAATAATTTTGTATAATACAGTGTGTCCCACTTACCATGCTCACCATGGGTATCTTTTTAACGGTGAGAGATACGAGGTCGGTTAAATGACAAAAAATATGAAATTTATACCAACTCTTCTAGAATTTGAGATATCAGAACCAACTTCAGTTTTTCAAATGTAGGTCATAGCTCACTATGACTTAGTTACAAATACCTTTTTTTTCTCTTACAGATGATATGTCGCAGTAATAGTTTTGTGTTGATAACAACGGATGAGTTATCGTCATTTATACAAAAACAAAAAATTATTCGGGAGCCGCCATCTTGAATTTATAAATTTTAACAAATAATCTTGATCTCCGACCTCAAAAACCCCCACTTACCAATTTTGAAGGGAATCGGACCAAATCTTGTCCGCCATCTTGGAGCAGCCATTTTTTTTAATTTCAACAAAAATTCCATAATGTATTGTCACCGAAATAATGAACACCTGCCAAATTTCAAGTTAATCGGAGTTATGGAATTTTTGTTGAAATTTAAAAATATGGCTGCTCCAAGATGGCGGACAAGATTTGGTCCGATTCCATTCAAAATTGGTGAGTGGGGGTTTTTGAGGTCGGAGATCATGATTTCTTTGTTAAAATTCATAAATTCAAGATGGCGGCTTCCGAATAATTTTTTGTTTTTGTATAAATGACGATAACTCCGTTGTTATCAACACAAAACTATTACTGCGACATATCATCTGTGAGAGAAAAAAAAGTTATTTGTAACTAAGTCATAGTGAGCTATGACCTACATTTGAAAAACTAAAGTTGGTGCTGATATCTCAAATTCTAGAAGAGTTGGTATAAATTTCATATTTTTTTCGAAATCACTTTGAAAAACTGCCATGAGAATGTGAAATTCCTATTTGAATATTTTCATAAATAAAGAAGTTACGGGGGAGACATGAAAATGATCAAAATCTGTTTTTTGCGTATAAAACAAAAACGAATAGATTTTATCAAAATATTTTCGCACATTATAGTTGGCCTTGACAAACTCCACATTTGGTGTCATTTAACCGACCTCGTATCTCTCACCGTTGAAAAGATACCCATGGTGAGCATGGTAAGTGGGACACACTGTATATCACGCTTGAATGCAAATATTATATCTGGTCATTTTTATGCACGGCTGTAATTCATTGGAATATTTCACGAATAAAGAAATTCTCGAAGAATTTTTTTTTTTCGAGAAATATGATACAGTACTATACAGGGTAACTCACGGTCGATGGTACGTTAGACGTTTATGGAGAACGGGACATAGGATCATTCTGAAATTTTGGTAACTCACGTAGTTGCTCTTGGTCTATCGATCTAAAATATTTTCAGCTCTGCGGCGTTGCCGCTTCTATCGAAAAGTAGCAACAACTTTGTTATTTTAAATGGAACACCCTGTATTTTATTGCATTTTCAGATTCTCTCTGAAGAGCTGATTTCATCGATGTATCACACTTGGGGTCTAGCGGAAATGATTACAGAGATATAGGGTGTGAAAAATCGACATTTTTCAACTGAAGGAATTTTTTTTGTCGAAACTATTCATTAATGGTCAAAACAGCTTACATGTCCCTATCTCAACTTTTGATTAACTATCTACTGATATTTAATTGGGACATATACCAGGTGATCAAAATTCTGAATTCTGCACCACCCTATATTTGTTTCAATTAAATGTCAGTAGATAGTTGATCAAAAGTTGGGATAGGGACATGTGAGCCGTTTTGACCAATAATGAATAGTTTCGACAAAAAAAAACCTAAAATTGAAAAATTATGTTTTTATCTAACAACGCCAAGAACAAATATCCTAGCAAAATCCCCTATTTATATGATGTGTAAGAATCTTAATGATGTCTGCGACAAAATCGATCTCTATTCAACTAAAATTGGCTGTTTTAAAAGTAACTTAAGAAACCTCTACCACTAATAACTAAATACTCAAGGTAATAATAATTGATGTATTATCCTATATCTATTTACTTATATCTATTATGAACTGTGTTTATTCTGTATTTGCATGTCCTGTAATTGGGCGCCTCACCTGTTTGGACAATAAACGTTTTTTTTTTCACACCCTATATTTCTGTAATCATTACCGCTAGACCCCAAGTGTGATACATCGATGAAATCAGCTCTTCAGAGAGAATCTGAGAATGCAATAAAATACAGGGTGTTCCATTTAAAATAACAAAGTTGTTGCTACTTTTCGATAGAAGCGGCAACGCCGCAGAGCTGAAAATATTTTAGATCGATAGACCAAGAGCAACTACGTGAGTAACCAAAATTTCAGAATGATCCTATGTCCCGTTCTCCGTAAACGTCTAACGTAGGTACCATGGACCGTGAGTTACCCTGTATAAATAAACTGTGCTATTAGACATTTATTAGATCGTATATGGACCACTAACCAAAACGCGATTTTTTTTGGCTTTTTGAGGTATGACATTTATTTGTATTTGTTTACTGGCGTCTGGCGATACGGTTTGAAATGTGTTATAATGGCAACGGGATCTTTGCTCTGCATCAGTGCAATTACTCAATTAATGCTGTAATTTTTCGAAAATTGAATCGATCTTATGAGACATTTTATACAGGGTCTCTGAGCGGTCTGTACAAAATCTAAGCACATATTCCTGAGGTCAAAATAAGCCGATTTGAAGCAACTACCTCAGTCCGAAATTGCTCCGTTTCCGAGATACAATGAGGTGGTCAACTTGAAAAATAGAAATTGAATTTTTCAGAATTCATGAACATTTTTGAATGTATTACTTCGAGAATTGGTACCTCCCATATAACACTCGACGTTCTGGGGACGACCATTTTAGGTCCGATTTGGGTCTGGACTTCCGGGACCTTTTCAAGACGTACTGAAAACGTCCATTTCTAGACGTACTGAGTACGTCGAACTCTTATTGATTTTTTGTGGACGGGATTGAATGAATTGTATAAATGATAATCGAAATCATTGCATATAATTTCTACCCTCGATCTCTGATATCTATTCGTGTAGGAACCTTGCAAACATGAACATAATACAATTCTCACAATTCATTTTTCACTGGCCGTACCTTATCACAAAACATCTATTTAGTTATTCTCTGCCGTGATCATCTAATTCTATGAAATTATCGATGTGATCGAAGGGTCAATCGAAATTCGCACATAATCTCTTGCTGTATACTATTGAATACTATGCTAATAAAGGTTCTGTGGAATAATAATAGGTAGAGCATCTAAAGGTCCTGGGATCGATCCCCGGTAGGAGTGCATTTTATTTTAATTTTTCATTCGGAATAAGATCGTTTATACTCTGTCTAGATCTCTTTTTCACCTATCTCAGCAAAAGTCGAATTTACGTTGATTCAGGTATTCATGGTCCTGAATGGACGTACTGGGGATGTACAAATGCGCGGAATCTGGACGTACGAAACGTCTTGGCCGGACGTTCTCAGTACGTTTTGGGGACGTTCTCAGTACGTTTTGGGGACGTTCTCAGTACGTTTTGGGGACGTTCTCAGTACGTTTTGGGGACGTACTGGTGCTATATGGGTAAACGCGACATCTCAGAGATGTCATGGCACAGATTTGTTGGCTGAGCTTGGTGTTTCTAAGGGTAGGTATATTTCATTTTTACCTATAGCAAAACGCAGATGTTTAGGAAATATTTTAATTGCATATTTAAAAAAAATATATTGTTATTTGCTATTCTCTGGATCTCGGACTCTATTTTTTTTTCCGAATATTGAAAATCCTACATACGCCTAGCCAATGATAATTCAATGGAGGGATTTGTGTAAATAATCCATTCAGATCAATGCAAATGAGTTCATCAAGCAATGGATAATTAAATATACATTTTAGTGATTTGGAAGTTGAGAAGAATAAAGGTAGGTACGCCCATGAAGAGGACAATATTTAATTATCATATCTTTCTGATAACGTTATATATCGGTGTTTAACATTGATAACTTTTATAGCCAGGTAGGCAACCCGTAAAATTTCAAGGAAAGATAACGAGGCACAATAGATGACGCAAACAAAATTCTGTATGGTTGAAGAATATTATTATTTCAAATTAAAATATTTAAATGTGTGACGATAAGAATCGGCACGATTGGGCGAGTGGACTGATCTAATAACACAATAACATCTGTAAGACGTCGTAGAAACATCCATATGGGATGATAGGAACATCTCTGGAAAAGCCCTATTTTCCTTGGGACATTCTTGGGATGTTGCTGGCAACACCCGTGTCAGCATTTGCGATGTCTTATAAACATCCCGTCAGAATGTTTGTGGGATGATACGGGATGTACCAGAGACATTGAGGGTACTTGATATGGAACATCTTAAAGAAACTTTTATATAGGATGTTTTTTGTTTGATGACAGTAATGGATGACAAGGTATGAATTATTTTCAATCTGAAATCCTGAAAATGGCCGACCTATTTCCAGATATCAAGTAACAATCCGAATCCGATAATATAAGGTCGGTCCGGTCCAATAACTAATGGAAGATGATAACAGTTGTTTGAGGCTCATATTTGTTGGCGCTGGGCCGACGGCTGTTAGTAACTCTTAACAACATAGTTGTACCGCCATCTATCGGCTGGTATAACAAATAAATTCAGGAATAAATATGCTGAAGAGATATATTTTGATTTTGTCGTTTATTACATGG